GAATCTCTCTTCGTAGTCGCGTAGAACTGCAATAGGCACGATAAACACCATAGCCAGCACGGCATACGCGTAGTCCTCAGGGCTCAAACGCAGCGCTTCTGGACTTCGAATCGCGCCCATGTACCTCTCATCACACGTGATGAGGAAGAAGCAAACGCTAGCTCCAACCTCGTACACGCGACACATGAACACCCACATCACGTCGCGAATGGGCGTCGGCAGTACCCACACAACCACCGTAGTCACCACACACGCGACCGTCCACGAATTATCTCCAAGTAGCGAGAGTTTCGAGCTCCAGAAGTAGTTAGATAACCATAAATCCATGTAATTTTCCACTTGGCTTCCCTCCACACTTGCGTTCACTAACGCCGATCTTCAAATACTCCAGGTAGTCATTATCCATCTCATTTGCCACGAGAGAGAGTCCGACGTGGTTCCCCATTCGTCAATAATTCCCAGCATCGTTCCGAGCACCCACCAACCAGGTCCGTTCCCATCAAAGTTACTCGGAATTCTCCACAGTCGCTCACTCTCCAATCTACAGTTCACAGGCGACGACACTCGGCCCGATGACCAAGAAGTTCACGCCCCAAGAGATCCAGGAGATCAAGGAGTACTTGAATGGTCTACTGGATCGCGACGCAGACGACACAGCCTCCACAGACGTCGACGCGATCGAGGCCGCGTTCTGGGAACGCCTCCAGCCTCGCCTCTTCCAGAATCCACACTCCAGCGGCGCGGATCAACTCGCCAAGGTCGTTCAAGCCACAATCGACGGGGATGACAGTGTCGGGCTCACCAGCACGGTACTGCTCATTCCTGCCGTAGACCCAACGGTTGGTGCTGCAGCTGCAAGCGCCGCCAGCTCGTCTTCGTCCAAGTCGTCCAAGCCTCGCAAGTCGCGCAAGCGTGAAGCTTCGGCTACCCGGAACCGTGCCAAGGCCTCGACCAAGAAGCTCAAGACTCGCTCCGCGTCCAAGTCGGCTTCACAGCTACAGAATCCGCTGCCAGCGGTCCTTCAGGTCAGCCCCACGGCCAAGCCCGAAGTCCATAAAGACATCACGGCCGTCCTGTACCGGTCCTTGAAGCTAAACTCCGTTCCGTACCGCCTCGCGTTGCCGTGGAAAGGTCGGCAGCTCTTCTACGACCCTCGTGAGTACCCAGGTGTCTACCGCGCCCATTATCGTTTCTGGATGAGCGGGAGACAACTCTTCTGGGCGTGGGCGTTCCACGCGCCTCTGAAGGACAAGGCCGCCACTGACGCACGACGCAAGTACAAGTGGAAGGTTGTCCAAGCTCGGAACAACTTCCTGAGTCTGCGCATCGAGACGTTCAGCTTCTACTACCTCCTGGGTCGGCTCGACGACAGCGACGAGTTATTTTGGTACGGAGGGCAGCCAGGCAAAAGCCCCCCCCCCGAAGCTCAAAACTACGACGGTCCGCTTGCCGAGGATCTCGGCTCACTGGCCGCTCACGATCCACCGCGCTACCGCTTCATGCTCACTCACGCCTTGGATCCAGACTATATCGACAACTACGGCTACAGCTGCATGCGTTCGCTCCTCGAGTCCACCGGCGCGTTGGACACCGAAGCCAAGGAGGGCAGTCGCCTCTCCGAGGTCGCTCTTGCGCCCGTTCGTAAGGACGTCATGACCAAGCGAGACGTTCCCGACACGCGGGTCGGCGACGAAACGAAGGACCCGTGGAAGAAAATCCGCTTCCACTATCGCATCAAGCATCTCCAGGACCGCGTCTACGCGGACATCAACAAGGGCACCTACCAAGTGACGGAGCCGCCATCTCTCACTAAGGCTGAGCTGGACAACGACGACTGGTCGGACTTCGAAGACGAAGACGGCAACCCCACCGCCTACCCTCCTGGCACGCTCGACCCTGACGCTCGCGAAGGCGACGGAGACGAAGCAGGCGATGATGAAGGCAGTCCCGACACCAGCGACGCCGAGTTGAAGGCCAAGCTCAACCAGTAGCGTCTCCGAAATTAG